CCCTTTTTTAACCGATGACTCTTTTAAACTAAACACGAGCCAGAGACAAATGTTGTTTTGCCGATAAATCTTCAGACGCAAGTGTAAATTACTTAAAAACCTCCAAAAGCTACGATTAAAATTATGAAACTTGCATCCACAGCAGAATCGGCGGCAAATTAGAACACAAGGCTTCTTTTAATGTGGGCTATTATTCAAACTTTGTATCTGTAACAACATGCGCATCATTGAAAGCTGCAATTCTCATTCAACTCAATAATTCTTTATTATTGATTAATATACCTGCTATAATCGTAGCTTTTGGAGGCTTTTAAGTAATTTACACTTGCGTCTGAAAATTTATCGGCGAAATAACATTTGTCTCTGGCTCGTGTTTTAGTTGCAATCTTTACATATGTAGAACCCAACATTAATAATTGGCCTAAAAAATCTTGTAATAGCAAATTTGCACATTCGGTAAAAATTTCATAGATAATTATATGATAAAAGGCAATAATAAATGACTCGTTTTGGAGATTCTGCGTTATYTATTTTCTATTTTTCATTTTGTTTTATTGAAAGCAAACAGAAATACACAGACAAACAATGCGGAGTTATTACGGAGCGAAACTAACAAGATAATTATAACTTATTGGATAAAACACGCTAGGAGGGTTTTTCTAGATGTGTATTTTGTTTTTGTTTTTATTTTATTTTTTTTTTTTTTGGAACTGCAACAGTTGTCGTTTAGACATTGCCTCGGAAACAGAAAGAAAGAAATGGAATTCTTTCAATGAATTCCTGTTAATCCCATTGGGTAATTCACCGTAATTGTTCGTATTATTCTGATTCTCAATGTGATACTTTGAAATCACTTGGGAAAAGATATGCATTACCAGATGAACAACAAAAAAAGGGGAAAAAATACTGTTATAAATATTGTGACTCCTATCYCATACTAGAGCAATCCATTTTCCTTGAAGTAAAATTGTCCATCATATTTCAACAGAGCGGCTATTTCAAACGTTTTGGACCAAAATATTGCCTTAATTTTCAATTAACTAAAAAATGATATTTAGCGAACATATTGTATTGAGTTGATCAATATCACAAATGAATTTGCAAGAAAACTTTCATAATCTTTAATGTTGTGACCAGTTACAAGGACAATTGCGAAAAACATCGGATTTTGTTTCCCTGGAATTTGCCATTTTGAGGCCGCAAGGCCGAAAGGTAAACCGACCTCTGGTGGCACGGCCTCATGTAAACATTAACCTCACTTAGCGTCGTAAATAAATTGTACAGTAAGATAAATTACAACTTCTGGTACTTAATCTTTAGTTTGATGGAAACTAAAAATCAGCCTGAGAGAGGAAATATACAGATAGTTCACAAACCAAAATCCGTTATAAAATATTCTAATTAAGTGAAAACAGCCAT